GTCTGCTGCTAAGGCCACACTGCCCCCATCACCAGCTGATTGTGCTCTGTCCCCAGAAGCCTGGGATCCTGGGAGACTCTCCCTTGGGCCCCCTGCAGCCTGGTGCCCAGTCGGCCAACCACCTCCTTGGGGAGCTGTCTGCAGGTAACAGACCCTGCCCCTTGTCATCTCTCTGGGCCCATCCTGCTCCCCTTTCCCTGTTGGGTGGTAAATTTCCAGTTGCATGGCCTTGGGCAAGTGCCCTAACCTTTCTGGGTCTCTGTGTCTGTCAGCTGGCGCCCACCTTGTGGGAGAACCCATGAGCATTCTGGGAGTTGATACACTCAGAGGGCTTGCTCAGTGCCCAGCGCATAGTTGTTCCTCGGCAGTTCACCCTGGTCCAAGCAAATGCTTTAGGACCCTGGGAAGGAAGGGTCCTGTATGTTTGGGCCACTGACATTCTTCTCTCTGTAGGAGGGGGCCTGCCCCCGGAGCTGCCACCCCGGCGAGGGAAGCCACCACCCCTGCTACCGCCACTGCTTGGTCCTTCCGGAGGTGACCGAGAACCCATGGGCCTGGGTCCCCCAGCAGCCCAGCTCACTACACCCTCTGCCCCTGTGGGACTCCTAGGCACTGGCCTCAGAGGCCTACAGAAAGATAGTGGACCTCTGCCAACACCGCCCGGGGTAAGGTCCTGTCCTGGGCCCAGCACTGTTCCAGTCTCCTGCCCTGCGATGTTTCCCGTCAGGAACCCTCTCGAATCCAGCCCTCTCGCCACAGGTCTCACTGTTGGGGGAGCCCCCCAAGGACTTCCGGATCCCCCTGAACCCTTACCTGAACCTACACAGCCTGCTCCCTGCCAGCAATCTGGCGAGTAAGGAGGCCCGGGGCTGGGGAGGCGCCGGGAGAAGCCGCCGCCCAGCTGAGGGCCCCCTGCCTAACCCCCCAGTCCCCAGAGGCAGCGGTGGTGGAGGTGGTGGCAGCAGCAAAGCCTTCCAGCTCAAGTCCCGCCTGCTCAGCCCCCTCACCAGCACGCGCCTTCCCCCCGAACCAGGGCTTCCTGACAGCTATGGCTTCGACTACCCTTCGGTGAGTATCTTTCTGCCCTGTTGTCAGCCCTCCCGAAGGCTGGCTACTGTAGCCCTTTGTCCCCTGGGAGCAAGTCATTCTCCAAACCAATATTTCTCTAGCACTGACTGTGCCAGGCCCAGCATTGTGACAGTGGGGAACATGCCAGACACAGTCCTTGCCCTTCAGTCTCTTGTCTGTTTCTGCACATCAGACCTTGCTTCCTGTCTGTCTTTCTCTCCCAAGAGGCCTTAGGCTGTACTTCTGCTTCTCCTTAGAGACAGGGCTCAGCTTCCTGTCTCTCTGCCCTTCTCTCTCCTCTCCCCTCTGAGATTCCTGTCTCTGTCCCTGGGGAACTGTTCTTTCTATGACTCCAATGTTTTCCAGGTCAGATGTTGCAGACTGGCCACTTGCAGGCCACCTGTGTTATGTTTGACCCGCACTGTATTATAAAAAAAACTAGTGGCCTAGTGCATGGATTCGTGCACATTGAAAGGAAATCAATTAGAAGAAATATTTTAATATCGCTATTCATCCTTTCTCTATAATAGAAGTGTCAGAGATGAAAGAAAATTAGTAAAATGTATATGAAAATAATATATAAATTGATTAACAAACAATAACAACATGATATAACAACAACAAAGACATGATATGAAAACAAAAACATGATATAAAAACGACTGATAAATTGATTAAACTTACTCTAATATCTCCCTGTACACCACATTAAGAGTAAAGACACTTTCATAGTGCTTGACTAATTTCCCTTGTGATGAAGTATTTACAACTTTAACGCCATGCACTCTTCAAACTTGAGAGAAAGCAATATATAACTGACCATGTCCAAAAACGGGTTCAGGTAGGAATATTCCTACTCTGTCTAGATTGGTGCCAGTGAGAGCTTTATATGTATCACGCATGCGTGAGTCAACGTTTATTTTTAAATTGCCAGTGCGCGTCATATGTACCAAATGGTTGGACGGACGTATGGTCGGTCACTTAGCCTTTTATATATAAAAGAATAACAATTGATAGTGAAGTCTATTAAAAAAAACCTGAAATAAACACTGATACCAACATACAGAAACTGCAGGTATTCACACAACCCTGATGCTCAGCTTGCCTTGAAAACTCGAAACACCTGGCTCCAGTGGAGCCACATGACTTCATAGCAGTCACCTCTGGGTCTTAGGTGGAGCCATCCCTGGGACAGAGCACGTTCCGTCTCATTGCCCCACTCTACAGGTCGAGTTTCCCCTCTACTGGAAGGGGCAAACTTCCCTAATGACATCTGTGCTGGAGAATTCAGCTAAGAGTGAGGTTGGTACAGACCCCAACCCAACACACTTTCTCCCACTTTTATTCAGGACATGGGACCTAGGCGGCTCTTCTCCCACCCACGGGAGCCAGCCCTCGGGCCTCACGGACCCAGCCGACACAAAGTAAGAGCTGCCCTGTGAATCCCACCTTCCAGGTGTATCAGTTAGCTTTTGCTGCATAACAAGTGGTCCTACCACTTGTGGCTTAGAACAGCAAACAGTTTATCATTTCACACCATTCTGTGGGATGGTGGGTAGGTGGTTCTCTACACTCACGTTGTAGCTCAGCTGAAGCTCAACAATTTACAGGGGCCTTAGTCATATACCTGGTGGCCAGTAGGCTGGTAAATGGGCCTTGTCTGGGGGCCTCAGCTGGTGAGCTCCACGTGGAACTCACCCTCCAGCCGGCCAGCCTGTGCACATACACGTGGTGGTGATCCCAGGATTCCCTAGAGGCAGAAGGGAGGCAGGCACCTCTGCTTGTTGGTCAAAGTCCAGAGTCATTTAGGAGTGGTTTACAAAAGCGGGTGGATACTGCAGTAGTCTGCCTCACTCAGCCTGCCTCCTCTCTGCAGATGTCCCCTCCACCCAGTGGCTTCAGCGAACGGAGTGGTGGAGGTGGTGGGGGATCCTTCTCTCACTTTTATTCGGGCTCGCCCACTTCCTACTTCACCAGCGGCCTGCAGGCTGGCCTCAAGCAAAGCCACCTTAACAAGGTGAGGAGCCTCCCCCAGCCGGGCACAGGTTCCCAGGGACAACCAGGATGCAAGGAATCCCTGTGACCCTCGGTGCCTAGGTCAAGGCTAGTGTGGTGGCAGGGACTAGTTTTGCTTAGAGCCAAGGTGAATTAGAACAGCCTTCCTGCACCTGTGTGTGTAGCACCTGGTGCTGCCCAGCCTTCTGAGCCTCCGCTTAGTCTCCCAGAAGCCAGGGGTTGGATGGTCTTAGCCCCAGTTGACAGATGAAAAAACTGAAGCTCAGAGACAGGGCTAATATGCCCCCAATCATGGCGAGTAAACAGCAGAGGCATGACTTGAACCTGAAGTCCTGACCTTTGCTCTGGGGGATGTTTCTTTTATCCCATCTCCCATTTCTGCCAGGCGGTTGGTTCCTCTCCACTGGGCTCCGGAGAAGGGCTCCTGGGCCTGGGCCCTGGGCCCAATGGCCATAGCCACCTGCTGAAGGTACGGGCAAGGGTTGAGGGCACACACAGCTGGGGAACGGCGACCCCCAGGTGGCCCCTGACTTGCTACCCCCTCTCCTCTGTTTCTAGACGCCACTGGGTGGCCAGAAACGCAGCTTTGCCCACCTGCTGCCCTCGCCAGAGCCCAGCCCAGAAGGCAGCTATGTGGGACAGCACTCCCAAGGCCTTGGTGGCCATTATGCAGATTCGTACCTGAAGCGCAAGAGGATTTTCTAAGGGGCTAGTGCCAGAGATGCTCCAGGGCCTGCACCAAATCGCTTCTGGGTTTTCTGGTGTTTTGTGTTTTTGTTTTGTTTTTTCCTTTCAGTAATAGAAAATCTCTGAAAGACTTTGCTGACCAACCAGCTGGAGCCCAAGGAGTATGGGAGAGTCCGGGGGCTACTCTGCATCTCTGGTCTGCTCCTAGCATGGAAACCCTGCAGCCTTAAGAGAGAGCAGGCTGGGCCCCTTTCTGCCCTCCCTGTGTCCGCCAGCATCTGCCTCTCGGGGAGCCCTCTTCTGCCTCGTCGCTCCTGTATCTTGGCCTTTCGAGTGCCTTGGAGGTTTCCCTGACCTCCCGTGAGGATCAGAGACTATCCCCCTTTTTTAACTTTGACAATTGACTTTTGTTTCCTTTTCTAATTTTTATTATTTTTTAAACAATCCAGAACGACCCCCAGGTCTTATACCTGCAAGTTTCAACATGTCTGAGCCTCCATTCCACACTCTTCGGTTTGAAATGGCTCGGCTCTTTTCTCTTTCTCCCATGTCTGTTGCAGGCATGGCTGCCTCCTGCCCCTGCCGGCCCAGTCTGGCCTGTACTCCCTCTCTGGGTGCCCTGCTCCCTGCCACAGTCCCCTTGCCTTCTGATGCCTTAAAGCCGAGCCCCAAACCCACTGGCCAGAGCTCAGACGTCAAGCTCTGGAAGCCTGACTCAGGACCAAACAGCTCTGGCCTGGGGATTGGGTCCCTCTACCCAGGGCCCCCACCCTGGGGTCAGTAGAAGGCCAAAGCCTTGGTCTTAGCAAACCAACTCCACCATTCCTCTGCCCACTGAAACCAGTCCCCTGCTCTTTGTCTATGGGAGTCCGGCACTGCACCTCACTGAGCCTCTGCTGACTCCCCCCATGTTGAAGATGAGCACCTCCATCCCTGGCCAGGTCACTTGGAGCTGGCCTCCCCTTGGACCATTGCTGGAATCACACAACTCCATGCAGATAAACTCTGCCCCTGCCCACCAGCAGGACCTGTTGACCTGAAGTGACCCTGGGCCCGCCCCTGGCCAGCTAGGCCACAGCTTCCTTCTTACTCTGGGGGTCCCCCATCCTCTCACACAGACCTTTGCTGAATTAAAGTTTGTAAGTAAATGGTTTTAAAGAAAGCAGAGCTGACTGGTTCTTGAGACAGTGGGCCTGGGTGGGAGGGCTGGGGTGGCCCCTGCAGGTCTTGGTGTGCCAGATCCGGTCGCTGCCCCTGCCCCCCAACTCCAGCCGTTGCTGCCCCACTGCCGTCGGCGCTTATATTTGGGTAATTAGCCCGCCTCCCTCGCGCGCTACCGCGCATGCCCCAGTTCCGGGTCACGTGACGCCTGTCATGGCCGCCTCCGTGGCCCGGGGCGGCGTGAGTGCTGGGTTCTTGCTGCGGGTGGCCAAAGGGCGCTGGTGGAGCCGTCCTGGGGGCTTTGGGGGATCCGGGGAGGCGGCGTCACCAGCGACAGCCAGGAAATTCCGGGTGACAGGTACCTGCGGCGCCTCGGGTCCGGGGTTGGGCAGCACTAACCCGTCGGATGCCCGCAGGGCGCTGCGCGCGGCTCACCCAACTGTGTTTTCCAGGCTCGCGCTCGGCGGGGGAGGAAGAACCGAGCGGCCCGGGGACGTGTGAGTGCGGGTGGGGGCGGGAGGCGTCCCCACTCATCCCCCGAGGTTTTCCCGGTCCCCACCTTACCCGCAGCCTCACCGTTAGAGTCCCCCTGCGCTCCGTCCTGTTTCCCTGCCCTAAGCCTGGACGCCACCGGAACCCGGGCCCGCGTCCATGCGGCATCCGCATCCCTCTGTCCTCAGGGTGAACGTGGTGTTCGTAGACCGGTCGGGCCAGCGGATCCCGGTGAGAGGCAGAGTCGGGGATAATGTTCTCCACCTGGCCCAGCGCCATGGGGTGGACCTGGAAGGTGGGAGCCAGGCACAAGGAATTCTGAGGCCCTTCATTCCTTGAAAACAACAACACACACAAATTAGTTGTCTCTCTGCTGATTAACCCTCCATGGCTTCCCACGGTCCTGGGCTAAATCTAGACTCCTCAGCACTGCCTCATCCCCTGCCCAGGGAGCCCTCAAGGTTCCTTCCCCGGCGTTGTTTATTGAGCATTTACTGGAGGCCATGACAACTCCTGCCTGGGAGCTTGTGTTGTCTTTCTCCTTCCTTCCTCTTCTCGCCACACTGGCTTTCTTGCTGTTCCTCAAACTGCCTAGTTCATTCCTGCCCCAGGACCTTTGCATTTGCCACCCCAGGGTGATTTTCCATCAGATCTTCTGGTTTCTTCTCATCCTTCATGTCTCAGTGTAAATGTCATCTTCTTGACAATAGCATCCCCTTCAGTGACCTAGAGTGCGTACGTGACTGTGTTTTATTGTCCTCATAGCACTTCTCACCATTTTGTTTCCTTCTTTGTCATCTCTCCCCAGAATGAGATCAGAAACCGTTTGCCTTGTTTACATGTATCTGTTGCCTCTCATCGTATTTAGACACAACAGGTTTTAAGTCAGTATTTGTTTTTGTTGTTGTTGTTGTTGTTTTTAAGTCAGTATTTGTTGAAGGAAAGATAATAATAGACATTACTTTAAGCATGTTGACACATATTAACTGACTTTTCATGACAACTTTATGTCATATTGTTTTATTTATATATTACTATTTTATTTATTTTTGTTTTCAATTTTTTTTTTTTTTTTCCAGAAAGGAAGGGAGAGGGAGATAGGAACATCAGTGATGAGGGAAACCATCAATCAGCTGCCTCCTACATTCCCCCTACTGGGGAGTGAACCTGCAACCCTGGCATGTGCCCTGACCAGGAATTGGAACCGTGACCTCCTGGTTCATGGGTTGAGCAACACTGGCCAGGCAGATTATCACATTTTATAGGTGAGGAAATTGAGTCCCAGGTTACATACACCTGGTCCAAGGTGAAGTGGCAAAATTAGATTCAAACCCAGCAATGTTAGCCACTAAACCTATGCTGCTCTTCTATGAATATTGAACACTAGTGTGTGCCAGGCAACAATGGACTAAAATAGGTAAGGCTCCTGTCATTTCACACCAGTTTCAACCTAATAGGGAGTAAACATGTAATTATATCATCAGCAACTAAAAAGGGTGGTCTGAAAAAAAAATGTACAGGGTTAGTTGTTGGATGAATGTAATAGGGAGGCTGATTTAGTCATTAGAGGGGTGGAGATGTTGGGGGTGGAGTTCGGGTTATGGCAGGCCTTCCTCAAGTTTTGTTCTGGAATCCAGTAGCTGACAGTCTAGGACATAGATTGGAATATGAGTTTTAGAGGCAGGTGGCCTGTTTTCAAATTTTGCCTTTTACCAGCTGTGTGACCCTGAGCAAGGTACTTAGCACCTTTGGGCTCTGTTTTCTCATTTATAAAATGGGATAACTTAGTTCCCTCTTCCTTGGGTTGCTACAGAAGAGTAAACAGATGTCCTGTAATGCTTAGTACCTGACACATGGTTAGTGTGTAGTGACCAATTGGGACATTTATATTAGACTAGAGGCCCGATGCACGAAATTCATGCACGGGGGTGTGTGTCCCTCAGCCCAGCCTGCACCCTCTCCAATCTGGGACCCCTCAAGGGCAGTCGGACATCCTTCTTACCATCCAGGACTGCTGGTTCCCAACCACTTGCCTGCCTGCCTGATTGCCACTAACCGTTTCTGCCTGCCAGCCTGATCGCCCCCTAACCACTCCCCTGCCAGCCTGATCACCCCTAACCACTCCCCTGCCAGCCTGATCGACGCCTAACTGCTCCCCTGTTGGCCCAATTGCCCCTAAGTGCCTTCCCCTGCTGGCCTGGTCGCCCCTAACTGCCCTCCCCTGCAGGCCTGGTCCCCCCCAAATGCCCTCCCTTGCAGGCCTGATCGCCCACAGCTGCCCTCCTCTGCTGGCCATGTTGTGGTGCCCATCTTGTGTGTTGGAGTGATGGTCAATTTGCATATTACTCTTTTATTAGATAGGATAATCTTGATCTCAGGGATGAGGATGCTAACAAGGTGGGAAACAGGGTGAAGGAAGAGATGCTAGGGACCACTTGGAGTTTCAAGGCCTGATTTCTCCCCGGTAGACAGGGAGGTTCTGCTGGGTCAGGAGGCTGCCTTGCTTCTCTACTCTCATTATCTGACATGTCTGGAAGAGAAAGGAAAATTCGGTCCTGTCATTTGCTTATAACAGATGTCTCTCAAGCATCTACAACATGCCATGTGAGGCTCAGTGCCAAGTACAGAGAGAGGAAGACAGGTTGACAGGGTGTGATCAATGCTGTACAGAAATTAATAAATTAACAAGGGGGAAGGACAAGAAACAGGCAGGGGGACTTGGAGGACAGCTGGGTTCCTGAGTACAAGATCTGGCCACGAAAAGAGTGGCGAGAAGAGCATTCCAGGCCGAAGGTATAGCAAGTGCAACGGTCCTGTGGTGGTGGCGTCGAGCCCAGGGAGGCAGTGTGGTTGATGTGGAGTGAGTGAAGGGGTGGGGGGACCACCAGGACTGAGTGGAGGAGTTTGGATTTTATTCTGGCTGTGAAGACCCTTTGGAAGGTTTTAGCCCAAGAGGGACATTATCCCCAAGCACAGTTCTCAGTCATCAGTCAGAGGATTGGGAATGTGTCCAGGGACAATCAGAAAACCCCAGCTTCTGCATCTTTCAGCCTTTGTTTCCTGTCTCCTTCCCCTAATGCACTGGTGCTGAGTGAGCCAGTCCCTCCTTCAGGAGCAGAAAGGAGGCAGGAACACATTTGCCCAGCACAGTGACAGGATCACAGCAAGGGAATTCAGAGGCTCCTGGGAACCTGCCTGGCCTTTCCCTCTCAGCTTGCTAGGGAGTCCTTGGGAAATGCGACACCTTGGACATCCCTTTGCAAAACCCATCCACAGCTCAGGAACAGCGGGCTGAGGAGAGGACGGGGGGGAGGGCTCCCACAGGGCATACAGGCGGGAGGGGAAGATTAGGGGCACGTGGTGAAACAAAAGGCTTCTCCCTTATGTCTTTCATTGGGTGACACCAGCCTGATGATGCCACTTACCTAAACTCCCTTCACTTGCTGCCCTCCAGGGGCCTGTGAGGCGTCCCTGGCCTGCTCCACCTGCCATGTGTATGTGAGCGAGGACCACCTGGACTTCCTGCCTTCTCCTGATGAGAGGTGAGCGGGCAGCCCCCTTGCAGCTCGGAGCCGCAGGGTTGGCTGTTGAGCCTTTTCCTTCCCAGTGTCCAGAGGTCCACTGGGCAGCAGCTGAGGGCAGCCCCAGCTTTTCTCCCCCTCAAACCACTTCCCCTGGACTCAGTCAGCCTGCCCCTCCCTGGCCTGAAAGGTGATCTCTGCTCCTCTGAGCCCTCCTCACCAGCGGCACCAGCGTGCCCACTGCTAACCACTGCCTCCCTCGCCCAGGGAGGATGACATGCTGGACATGGCCCCCCTCCTCCAGGAGAACTCCCGGCTGGGCTGCCAGATCATCCTGACCCCTGAGCTGGAAGGGGCCGAATTCACCCTGCCCAAGATCACCAGGAACTTCTATGTGGATGGTCACGTCCCCAAGCCGCACTGATAATGGGCAGCTGGACCGTCCCGGACACCCGTGGCCCAAGGGCCAGGACTGGAGAAACAGCCACGTTGCCAGCCCAGCCCAGAGCGTGGACAGGCCCGAGAGATGTGAGAAGCACCAAGAAGGCCAAATGCTTCAGAGAGACCCCATGTCCAGGCTCTGGTGGAGACAGGGCTCCTACTGGGCAGCCTCTCCAAGCCCCGGAGAACCTGCGTGTGGAAAGGGGTGGAATCTAATTAGAGTGACAATAAAGCCATCTTACGGAACTCCAGCATCCTGAGTGTCCTTGGCGGGGAGGTGGGGCCAGCCCCGTCCCGCCCCGGAACTACAACTTCATCTTCCAGGCCCTCGACTCTCACCTCGCACAGCAGCGACGGGGCCAGCGGGGAAACTGAGGCAGAGGCCTGGCACAGGGCCTGGAGGCTGGAGGGCTCCGTGTGCGTCAGCAGGCAAGGCCCCGCCCCTGCAGCCGCGGAGGGATTTGCAGGGGCCCAGGCCGCCCTGGCCACGAGGGGTGTGCAGGGCCCCCAGCAGAGTCCCGGAGTTGGAAGGGAAGGGAAGGGGCGGGCTGGTCTACAGGTGGGGGC